ATAAGAACTCATTTTAACACCGTTTTTTTAGTCAGCACTTGTGGCTTCTTGAAATGATACTAATTTGCCATCTTGTAGATATGAAGTTAAGCTCTTAGGAAACTGAGTTTTATATCCTGTTGCAAATCTAACCACTTAAAAAAATAAAAACAGAAAACTTCTAAGAAGACTGTGAACTACCTTCTAGCATTTATGCAACCATTTTCTTGTGTTTTATAATTCAATCTGCCAGGCTAAATATCTTCATTAGTTCTCTTTTCCTTCTCTTGCTTACATTCTCTGTTCCTAAGATCCCACTGTGAATATGAGTTCATTTCTGCTGAGAGTGTATTTCCTTGACATTCTATTTAAAACAAGTTGTAATTTGCTCCTCGTTATAGTAAAATGTCCCTGGTGAGGTAGGACTCAGCAAGATAGGAGGGTGATATATTTCATTTAAACCTGACGAAAGAAAGCCTACTATGGCTATGAATTTTTTACTTTTGGTATCATGTAGGGCTACTCCTTTATTAAAATATTAAGTTATGAATAGGAGCGTTTAAAGGTTTCCATTGCCTTTCTAATAGGAACCTTTATGCTTTAGCAAATGTCTGCATTAAAGCAGCACCCTGATTTTGCAAAATGTTAGAAACAAAAGAATGTATAAGCCAACAATGTTCCTTTAAATCAGGTCACTTAGTTTTCTTTAGAAGAATGACTTCTGTGTCTTATTTTCCTACAAATACATATGGAAATTTATTTTCTATTTTTTCCTCCTTTGACTTGTTAGATTCCAGTGCTTTCTTCTCAATATAGTACTCCAACTCTTTTCACAACTCCACCCTGTAAATACACACATGTGCACACACACACATTCACACACATACATACTCTCACATGTTTTCTTTTTCTGCCTAACTTGAGATCGCTTTTCCCAATAAACATAGACCTGGCTGTAAATTAGGTGCCATTGGAAATTGTCATAAGCTCTGAAATTATTTCCAAGTGTTTAATTCACTTCCAGGAAAAGCTGGTTCATATTTTATGAATTTCCTAGATATAGGACTGATTTGCTTAATACAAAAGAGAATTTCTGTACATATAAAAATAAAATGACCTAAGGATTTCTATGCCTTACTCTTAAAAAATGCAAAGACACCCATGAATCAAAATAAAAACACTTAAAAGAAGGTAACAATTTCTTATCTCTGGGGCTCCTTTGGCCATTTTATAGAAGAGGCAGGATTCATCGATGCTCTAGTTTATTTCTATTCTTGATGAGGATTTTTGTCTTTACACTTCTGCTGATTTGGGATCTGGGTTATCTTTAAGACAATTTTCAGTCTTCAGCATCTTATTGACACTGAAAAGGACTCAGCTGTGTCTTTTTCTTATATGCTTGTCTGTAAAATGTCATGGTGACAAGTTTAAGCAAATTGTTTTTATTGCTGATTATGTTCACTTTTTTCCTTTTTAAAATTATATTGAAAAATAGTATGCTTGCAGAAGAGTATAAATATCCTAAGGGTAGAGCTGAATGAATTTTGCATAAATGAACACCTCATATAAGAAGAATCTGATCAAGAAATAAAACATTACCAGTAACCTAAGATTTTATGTGGGGGGGAAGGAAGGAGCTTTTTAAATTCTATCAGATGGCTTGTATTTTTTGATATTTGCCATTTTTAATAGACTTTTATTTTTATTTTAGAGTAGTTTAGGGTTCACAGCAAAAAATGATCCTCACTTTTTAAAAAAGATTTTAATTTATTTACTTGAGAGAGAAGGAGAGAGAGCACGTGAGCAGGGGAGGAGCGGATGGGGAGGGAGGAGAGAGAATCTCCAGCAGTCTCTACTCTGAGCAGGGAGCCCAAAGCAGGCTCCAAGCAGGGGGCTCCAAGTGGGGGGCTCCAACTGGGGCTCTGCTCCATCCCATGACCCTGAGATTATGACCTGAGCAAAAACCAAGAGTGGGTCCCTCAACTAACTGAACTACCTAGGCTCCCCAAATAATGTTCACTTTTAATCTTGATAAATAGTAGTGGGAACTCTAAGTTAGTTTTTTTGGCTTTCACATTTTGCACTTTGTCTTCCAGTGTGTCTCTGAGCAATATGGTGAATAAACTAGACCGGCTATACAAATTTGTCTTCTAGGTTTTAAAATGATGAGAATCATCAGTAGTTCCCATATGGTGTCCTCCATCTTGACACTTTGGGCTTCATGCAATGTCATGGTGTTGATGGCCATCCAAATATATTTAGCAGCTGTCAGATTCCAGGCTTAAAAAAAAAGTATAAGGTATCACTGCACATTATTAGTTAATACAGACTTCTGGCGTAGGAGATTTTTCTTGTACCGCCTGTCCCTGTTTTACTGATGATCATATGGCTACCGACTTTCTTCTAGACTCTGCTACTTGCCCATGTTCCTGCAGGATTCTGCCTCACAGCTGCCTGCACAAAGCTCAGGGATAAGGCAATGAGACAGGCAAACTAAAAAGGCCCATGATAGTTTCATTTGGCGTTTATGTTCTGAAATCCTCAAACCCAAATATGCAGAGTTACCCCCTACACACATACTCTATTTAGCTCATCAAGTGTGATTCTCTTGGAGTCATTAGTTCTTTCTTTTTGGCTGGAAAACAGGTCTTAAAAAAAAGAAGAAAGAAAGAAAGAAGCTGTCATTAAGTTCATTTTATGTTTGCCATCTCTTCTTACATCTGGTAATCCTCAAATAACTACACAGAAAGGGTAGTTATCCTTTACCATATCAGTTGCAAATTGTTGGAAACACATGGAATGGAGGTGTGGAGGAGGCTGAGGCCCTCAGAGGGCATATCTGTGGTCAGTGCGGCACTCAGAGGGCCCTGCCCCGGTGTCCTTCAGAGTCACATGTGAGGCTTCATGAACTTCGGTCAAGAGGAAAAAATTCAGGACTTTCTCATTCTGTACATGCAAGGATTTTTATTGTGGATCGTGCCTCTACAAATTAGAGGCTTCTTGGAATCTGCATTCTCAGTTTTAAAGAGGTCCTAAAGGATCAAAAAGCAAAAGCCTTTTTGCTGTGAACCCTGGTATAGAAGAGCCTTAAGATTCATCGTTTGTCTTTGGTTTTGGTTCATTTTTCATAGTGATTGATATGTAAGTTTCCTAGGACTACCATAACAAAATGCCACAAAATGACTAGCTTAAAACAACAGAGGTTTATTCTTTTTTAGGTCTGGAGGCCAGAAATTTGAAATCACGATGTTAGCAGGGTCATAGTCCATTTGAAGATTGTCTGGGAGAATGCTTCCTTGAGCCTTCCTAGGCTCTGCTCCTTGCCCGCCATTCTTGCTGTTCCTTGGCTTGAGGCTGCATCTCCAAATCTCTGCTTCTGTTGCCCCATGGCCTCTTCCCTCCATTTCTGTCCCTCTAGGTCCAGATTTTTCTCTTCTTATGAGGACACCAGTCATTGGATCAGAGCTCCTCTTCATCCAGTAAAACTTCATCTGAACCTGAATACATCTACAGATATCTTATTTCCAAATAAGTTCGCATTCACAGGTACCAAGAGTGAGGTCTTCACTGTACCTTTTGAGGAATCCATTGTCCATTATGTCCAAATTCCAGAGCCATGATTTATTCTAAGGAAATAGATTAAGTCCAATAAATTAATAATATATTTCACCACCAAATTTTCACTCGCCAAATCAGAACATCTATTTATTTAGTTCTTTTGTACATGTGGCTTGAACTTCTTTAACCCCTCTTGCCTCTTGACATAGATCAGCAGTGCTTGGTAAGAAGATTAAACCACTGTTTTAGAAGGAGTTTACATGTCACTGAGAAGCAGCTGCTAACTATGGATGAATATGGAGAGGTTTATTCATTTCATGTAAAGTGGCCTAATGTGCAGTAATCATTGCCCAAGTAGCCTTAACTCAGGGCAAGGAGTTAACATGACAGATGTTTTTGATTGAAGGACAACAGAAATACCCCTTCAGGGGAGTTCTATCACCAACAGCAAATCAACATTCTTTAGGGGTTTATATTTGATTGCTAATTAACTGCTTACTAAGGTAGGCTTGTTTTGAAAATTAATGTAGTCATGACTTAAATGGAGTGACTTTGGTTCAAAACTGAAAAATGACGCAGCTCCATTTTTGTTTTGAACAAAACATGTTACTTTATTAAAATGTATAATTGTTCTAAAGTAGTAATATTTTATATTAAATCGTATATTTTAATAATTGTATATTAAATTAATACGGAGTGAGAAATCCCTAGATGCCTTTAGCAAATTTGTATGATTCCAATAATAACTATCACCTCAATTTTAAAAATCACTATTTAATGCACTATGTTATAACACCTTAATTTAAACTTGTGACCAAGATGGATAAAAATACCAGTTTAGGTTCATACATGTTGAAAAGTAAATAACACATTATATGATTATACACTAACTTAATGTAGAGCTGATAAATACAATATAAAGATAAATTTTTATAATCATAATCATCTTCTTATATTTATATCCTGCTCCTACTGAGCTGAATCTCTGGTTACATTTACATATTGAATTACAAAGTTAAAACTAATGATGGGATCAATTATGCCCCATACTGAGCTGTGCACTTTGGAATGACTTTGAGAAAACAGGAGGGTCATAAAAGAAAAAAAAAAAGCATCCACAGTGCACAGTGGTTTCAAGATTATGCTAACAGATAAGCAAAGGAAGAGACAATAATTTGTGTTTGTCAAAGAAATCAGGCTTTTATTGGTGTAAAACCTAAACTACATTTTTAATATAAACATTTCTCATAAAATATATAGTCTGGGTCACAGAAGTTGCTGAATGGTGGATTTAAGGTAGATATACAAGGGCAAATGTAACATCATTCCCTTTATGATCCTCTTAATTGTTCTTGGAATTCTTTTGATGTATTTTTAATGCATTTGCTGTATCTCGGTTGAAATATCTGCTCCATATTTGCTATTGTCGTTCCAAATGATAGTGTCTTCTTTCTCTTTCCTAGCTGCATAATAAATGTGCTTCTCATCTCAAACCTGAATGTGACTGCGGACCTTTGAAGGACCATATTTTACCACCCACAACAATCTGTCCAGTAGTACTGGTGAGTTTTTCCTTCTCATCATTCTGCTCTAATTTGGCATTTTTATGACAAACTGGTACGCTATACCACTAAATGCTTCCAGGGCTGATTTTCCATTGATCAAGGCAGTGCTCTATAGATCTAAAATACCTCATTACTGCCGAGTAGACACCTTTGCCCACTATATTTCCTTTTTTCTTCATGGCACAATAAACGTTTTAGTAAGGTATGTTCTAACTGAAGCTGACTCAGGCTTTACCACTTAGTCATGCTGTACTTACCAGAAATTGTATAGGCAGAACACTTCTACATTTTACATGTTTTATAGATCTAGCTTCCCAGAATAATGAAGTTATTCTTGGGGGCAATTTTGCTGGGGATGCACATTATATATCTGCAATGTTGAGTTCTTCTATCTAGGTCAGAGGCTACCTAGACTGAGGACACATATGCTAAAGAAAGTTATGTACTGCCATTAGGTGTATTGTATTTTTTATTAGTGAACAATAAATTTAACCACCTGCAAAATACTTAATTTAAATAAATATGTAAGTGGGAAATGCATAACTGAGGCAGCCCAGAGAAGAGCAAACCTTGATAGAAAGAGAAGTAGATATTCAAAGGTAATATTCATTTTACATTTTGAAATCCAAATTGTTTCCTAAGTGAAACACTTATTTTACAAAACAAACTATTTTATATCCATAATGCAGTTCGCATTTTTAAAAATGACATGGAAATTAAGTGGCTGGAACTTTAGCTTGATATAATAAAAGTACAACAACTAAGAAATGTTAGACAAATACTTTTCTAAAGGTCAACCTAGAAATTAATCAAATTACTCAATTTGCACCCACTTATGATTCATTTTGTAATTATCTGTAAAATACTGGTTGTATTTTAAACGTCTTTATTTAAAAATTATTTAAAACTCTTCATTTTCTCAAACTACAAATATAGAGCAAAAGAAAATACCTCCACGTTGCTGAGGATAGCAATAACTAATTCCAAGTTTCCTTTTTTCATGTGAGATTCATTAGACATTCTGTAGTAAATAAGATTAATTAAAAATAATGAATGCCATATAAAAATACATTTTAGATGAATTTGGGTGTTATTTTATTCTTTCATAGTGTTGTCTTAAAGAGAAAGGACTTGTACAGTTTTTACATGTTTACATTCTTTTTAAAATTATAGTAATTTTACTAGTTTTGATGCAACCTTGATCTCAGATTTTAACCCTAGAAAGAAATTCATCATGCTGCCCTACCATCTGGCTGCCTATATAAAACCCTACTCAGTTCATTGAACCAGGGGACTACACTTATGTCAACCTCTGGTCACATAAAGTCAAGCATGAATTGCATTCTTTTTATTTCTCTATCTTTTCTTTCTTTGAGAGACTCAAAGGTAAAGAACATGTGTTACATGAATATTCTTATCTTCTAACGATCTTACAAATCGCTCTCGTTTTTTTTTTTTAGATACTCTTGATTCTGAAGATTTATTTTCAAACATTAAATCTTCCTACAGTTTTAATCATGATTTGCATCTCAACATTTGCTCTCTTATCATTTCCTTGGTACTACCTACTCTATAATATCTGGCATTATTGACTACTTCATCCTTCATGAATGCCTACCTTTCACTGACTGCCATTATACCACACTCTCTTGGGCTTTCTTCTGTTTCTCTGGATACTTCCTTTTTATCTTTCCTGGCTTTCGTGACTTCATCCTGCTCCATGCTGGTGCATCCCTTTGCTCAACCCTCATGTGTCATAGCTTTTCACTCTTAACATTCTTCCCAGTGGGATCTTGTTTATTTAGTTGACTTCATTATTATGTTAATTTATATTCAGTTCATCCTCCATCCATAGGTTTGCATCTCACACCTATAAAGTTGCAACTTGAAGGTCCCATGCTGTCTCACATGCCTAATATATTATCATTATTCAATGTACTAATGGTAGCTCGTATATAGAGAGCACATATACCATACCAGCTAGTATGCTAAACATATTCATTCATTAATTCAGCAAGTATTTATTGAGTGTCTAGTTGCTGCCACATAGTATTATAGGTAGGGGGGTAAAATGGTAAAAGCTAAACTAAATCTTTGCTTTTGTGGAGTTTTCATTCCAGCAATAAACAATGAAATAAGAAAATTATTTCATACCTGGTTGTACTTTAAATATAAAGGACAAAATTGAAGCAAAAAGAGAAGAAATGTGGGGCTGTAGTTACGAAAGCGGTAGTCGAGAAAGAGTTCACTAAGGGGATGGTTGAATGAACAGGTGAAGAATGTGAGGGAGTCACCCACATGACTCTCTGGGGATGGAACTTCACAGAGGAGTCACCAAGGATGGACAAGTAAAGACCCAGAGGCAGGAGAAAACTGTCCTATCGGAAGGGTATCAAGGAGATTATTGGCTGGGCCTAAGTGAAAAGGAGGAGGAATAGTAAAGGAGAAGGTCAAAAATGTCATAAAATTTTCATACCCTGTAGGGCAATTTAGGCCACTGTAAGGTCTTTAGCTTTTATTCCGAGTGAGGTTGGAAGCTGTTAGGGGATTTTGACCAGAAAAGGGAATGATCTGACTTACATATATATTATTAAAAAGAACAATGTAACTGTTGAGGGGGCAGCAATGAACAAAAACATATGTGACACTTCTCTTTTCTCAGAGAATTAGGAACCTGGGGTATTGCTGAGAGCAAGGACGGTATAAAATGTTTGAGAAGTTTGAGGATTGGGAAGAAGTCACACACACACACAACAGGCACTGAGGAAAGTGGGAGCTTAACGGATCAAGGAAATACCATTTGTTTGGCAGGGGGTAATGAGCAGCCACTTGTTTGTCATCATAAAGTTAGAATAAAACCAGTAAGCTTGGATGAGTATATTTCCCTGGTCACATACAGTCATATTTCTCCAGTTTAGTCTAGTTCCAGGAGAAGGCTAGGCATAGCCTAGCCTTAAGGAGACTGTGTTTTGCTAAATATGATAAAAAGAGAGAGTAGCCAGGGAGTAGAGGGTATATGCAATAGAGTGAGTGTAAGGATTGACCATGGAATTTAAGCTGGGAGGTGAGGGAAGTAAGGACATGAAGAGGGAGGCACACTAATGGGTGTTAGGAAGAATATGTTGTAGATTCTAGTTGAATCCAAGATTGTTGAAATCAAGGTTATTGGTGTCAGGTTGTGAGAGTGAGTGGGGTGGCAAACTGAGATTATGAAGGGGTTGTGGTCACTGGTAATGATACGTATGAATTTGTTTAATCCTCACAATGACACCACAAGATAAGTATTATAACTATCTCCATTTTATTTATGAATAAACTGAGAAACAGAGAGGTTAAGTAAATTTCCTGTGTCACATGGCTATGAGGTGACAGACCAGAACTGGAACCCAAGAAGTATCACTCCAAAACTCATGCGCGGAATTCATCATTCTCACCCTTTCTCCAAATCCCCAAACAGGTCCCCTCCCTCTCCTGTTTGTCTTATCTTGGTGACTAGAACATTCATATCTTAACTTTCCCAACACAGAAACCTAAGAATTATCATTGATGACTCATCTTAAATAGATTAATCACTGGGCAGCCTATTCTAAAGTTCTCAATCCTTTTTCTTTTCTTCAGCCCAACTGTAACTGCCTCACATGTCACCATCACAAATTATTCTCCAGGATTGTCCTAATGGTATCCTTACTGAATTGCCTCCATTCCATACAATCTTCATTCTGCGGAAACAGAATGGATCCACTTGCCAAAAGGCAATCTAATATGTTCCTGCTTAAATATTTTAACATATTTAAAATAAATAAATAGCCAGTAATTCTCTATTTGAATTCCAGTGTATCTAGCATGGTAAGCAAGGCTCTAACTAGATCAACTCACCTAATCCCTCATATGCCGGTTGCACACTAGAAATCAAGGATAATTGGAACTACTGTAGTTCTCCTAAGTACACCCACTTTCTAAAGCTTTTGGAGTTTTGTATATGTTAATAAATCAGCCTGAATCTCTTTACTTTAAAATTTCCCCTGCCTTGCTAAGTAGAAATTAAAGGTTACTTTTTTAGCCTGGAATAAATACTCATACTACTATTGGACCCATTAACTATTTAAATACTAATAATATAAAGAAATTATGCAGTTGTTCTGCCCACTAAATTGCTTAATCTGTTCTGACTGATGGGCTCTGAGACGTTTTAATTTGTAAATTCTCATTTGACATCCCAGGAATAACTCCACACCATGTCACCCATTGTAAATTTTTAACTTTTGTTTAAAGAATATCATTAGTTTTCACAAATAATATAATCCTGTTTTCCTTTTTGTTTTCAATAACAATTTCCTTCTTAAAAATTATGAGTCCCGTTTGCTCATGCTGATATTCTTGAAGAAGAGCAGGTGAGGTTCAGAATCACTGCAAGATGGACGTGAATAGAAGAAATCTATCTCTATTCTAGGAAATATAAAATGAAGAACTTAAGATACCTATTTTTATTGAGGTTTTTTTTTTTTTTCCTTTGCCTTGACTATATAGTCAGGGATTAGCTGTTGAATGAGTGACATAAACTTAATACAGAGCCTAATTCCTGGATGAAGCATCTAAATAACACACTACAATGTCATGGTCCACAGCAGCAGTCTTTTGATATTTTAGAACATCTTTTTAGGTGTTATTTATCTTTTAAAAAATCCTGCATCACGTTTCTCAGCCTCCCAATTGCTCCCCAACACTTGTTATTAACTTCAAGTTAATGATTCAGTAGATATGTGCTCACCTGTTAGGGAGATTAGCAAGGTAAGCACCTTCTTTGCACTGATGACACGCTTTTATTGGCATATACTACCAACGGCTTCCACACATAATTGGTCTTGATAGTGCCTATTGCCATAAAAATGGATTGAAACCAGCTACTCTGAAATTAAAATTGAAATGTGACCAGTGAGTCTAGACATCAGATATAATCACTGTTTTCTGGGATTGCAGTTGATCTCTGGCATATTTCG